AATATTTCTCAAAAGCTCATAGAATCATTCTTATTACAAATGCATAATTTTGAACAGCCTAGCAGCACAGGGGCAAATGTATTAATCCTAATACACTTAAGGAATTTCAATGTAGCCTTAAGTTTCAGAATCCTGAGACTTTTACCTTTGTAATGCTGACTTTATCTTCTCAGTCCACTCTAGGGCTTTAGGTCCTAGAGTTCAATTCTGTCTATATAATTAGTTGTTCATGTTTTCCTTTTTATCTGTGACTCCATTTTAAGAATGGTTATGAAAAACTATTTAATTCCCTATTTGGTAACAATTGCTTACTATAGTATCAATGGGAAAGCAATATTCTAAAATGTTTTCCTGAGTGAATGTATTCATATTAAGTATGGTTTATCTTTAATTTACTCAAAAGGATTCTGCCATAGGTTTTAGAAATGAAAGCGTCAACCAATGGAAATAGGTGAAGAGTAGCACCAGTCCATATGTGTACACAGTGTGTGAATATTCATTATGGAAAGTAGCATCTCAGAGTTTAATGTGATATTGTTCTCTTGTAATTATAACATTCACAGGGTTAATCAATTAAAAGATGAAGTTACAAAATAGAGTTTTCAGTCATTAGTGTCTATGAGAGCTTTCCACATGCAGGACCTTGAACTAGAATTTCCAGCTCCATGGCACTAGGTGTATTTGCTGTAAAGTTAACTTCTAACATACTGAGTATGACCTTCCAATTCTCTTCAACTTTTAAATGAGAAATAAACTTAAAAGGTAGTAAACCATAGCAAATAGTATCTTTAGGGGTGGGATGAGGTGGGATCTTGCATGAGAAAATAAAAGAAGGAGCTGAAGATGAGAATACGGCTAGCTTTTTGTGCATTCTTGTTGCAGTGGTCCATGACACAATGTCCCACTTCAAAGTTAGGACCTAACATTAAAAGTTAGTTCCAGGGAGAGCTGCATTTCTGGCTGGGCTGTGGAGTAAGTGTGTTGTGACGTAAGACATAGCAATGAAGTAATGCAATGAATTTCTAAGAGCCATACTAATTGGTAATAACAATAATAAAAGAAAATTTGTAGAAAAAGTCAATTTTATAAAGTCTTTGGGATCTTCTCGGTGTATGATGTCTACCTTCCACTCCTGAAGTGTCTAGTATACAAAGTTGTTAGTCTTAGCAAATAAAAATATGCTTTCTAATGCAAGTATGACCCAAACATTGAGTAGGACACAAACACACACACACACACACCCCTACTATATATATATATATATATATATATATATATATATCACACTAAAATTGTTCATTGTTTATCTGAAATTAAAATTTAACTGGCCATCCTGTATTTTACCTGGTATTCTTATTAACATAGTCCTTTAGGCTCAGGAAATATTTGGTGGGTGGTTTAATTTCATTTGCTTGGTGTGATAGAAAAGTCTTTCTGCCAGCTTTCTAATTTTTATATTTGCCATGGAGACATTAATTTAAATGAATTCCTCCACCTGAGCCAAGCGGGAGTTGGTCTGGTGGCACAAAGAGGGCAGAAGCCAGTCCACCTTGCTCTTGTCCCCTGCTACTATTTGAAATCCACTTCCCCAGCACAGAACTCTCATTTTAGATGAGAAAAGGAGGATCACTGAGGAGGGTGGCTGCAAATCCAGTGTCCTTGTCTTAGCCTGTGCTGTCTCGGTATGTGTAGGTGACTCTGCAGTACAGGAATGAGTTATACCCCTAAAGTTGGTTTACAAGCTTCATTACAGCACAGAACCCCCTTTCCTATTCAGGAAATGCTTTAACATTAAAGTTGGATTATCAGACCACCCAAGAAGATAGATAAAATACCTGCTAAAGAAAAATATTATGAAAGAAAATCTTGACCATTCAAACAAATTATGGATAAAATGTTTTCTTGCAATATTCTGAAAATCTAATTTTATGGTTTATATCAATGAGACAATACAGAGGGTGGCAAACAAACACTCTATTCTCTCAGGGACATTCCCAATCCAAACACAGAGAAATCAGAGATGAATCTGGTGGCAAGAGCAGAAAATAGTAGAAATGTTGAGCAAATAAAGAAAGGCTCAGGTAATCTTCTCCAAGCTCTTAAGAGAACTGACAGCATTCCAAGAACATCAGAAGGGTCTTCACCATCTCTCATCTATCCTTTCATATCTCTGGATGGAGTTGTAACTCTAAAGAAGGAGAAAAATCCAATCCTCCAGCACTAAATCTGCCCTTTTTTCGGTGCATCCATTCATTAACATACTAAAGAGTTAAATATGTGGGCCAGATACAATATGAGGCATTGGCGACACACAGTGGTAAACAAGACAGAAATAGTCTCTGCCTTCAGGGAACTTAGCAGTTTTAGTTGGGGAGACAGACATTAAACCATGATTACAAAAATAATTCATTATAATATGAGAAATGATGCTCAATGAAGTACTGTTTCTGCAAACACTGGCTATTCAAAACAGAATAATCATCAGTAGCAGCATCAATTATGCACTATGTATCTGTACATTATACAAAGTATTTCGCATCCTTTATATCTAAAACTCACACAGATCTTGGAAAATAGCAAGGTAAGTATTTTTATTACCATTTTAAAAAGATAATGGAAAGCTTCCTTTCTTCTGATTATGACCTCGACTATCTTCCATGGAGTCTTTAGAAGACTTTGTTCTGCTAGAATTTCAATGCATTTCAGTATGAAAGTTGGGAACAAGAACAGCAGAGAGCAAAAATTATTTGCAGAATAAGATGAAAAATATTTGATCGCCGAGAAACAAACTAGAGGTATAATGTGAGTGAAACTGGCAAAGATAAGTGTTTGCTGGAGAGATAAATGCTGGGTGCCTCTCCAGTCTCCCCGTGCCTTGCCAACCCCACACCTTCAGTGATAATAGTGGACCCAAGAAAGTGAGTGGATCCTTTGGTGGACATTGGCAAGGATGTAGAGTTCTCTTGCAATCTGATAAAGGGGAAAAAGAGAACACAATATATCTGTATCGATCTATCTATACAGACATAGATACAGATAAATAGATATGAGGGCCAGAGGTTAAGGGGCAGTGATCCTGAGAACTCTCAAAGATTGCGGGAAGGACTTGAATTGGTTCAAACCAATCATATGTGAATCCTCAAGGAGACAGGAGATCCCAGTGCATGACTGGGTTGTCCATCTTAAGACACATTGATTCAGAGAAGTCTCAGAGCCAGTTATTGCATGGAAATTATCGTTGAATCTCCTTTCTCCAAGTTCTGTATTCTTCCTATTTTGCCTTGCTTCCACTGTTTTTTTTTGGCAAAAGGGTACAAAGAGCCATAAGGCAGGACTTCTCAACTTTTCTGGCTCTGGAAGGAATTTGTTCTTGACTGACCAGCGTACAAGCTGATCATTTTTACATCAGAGCCACCAGCAGTCATTCTATTTTAATGCTTAGAGTTCAGAGTACTTTAACAAACATTACCTAATGCAAGGAATTTTACTCCTTTTTAATGGAGAATTAAAAACATTGTGCTAAATAAGTACCAAGGCTTTGTCAGTTCTTTTGACTACAAATTACTCATGTAGCAGTTCCCCCATGGGTATTATCTATTAAGTGCAGCAGGGAGCAAGTGCAGAGCTTGCATTTGGTACGCTGTGGACAGGCTTCAACTTGTTTATCTCATAGGCTCTGGAAAGAAAACTGGGTACATAATGTCCTGGTCAAAGCAAATACCTACATTTATTTTTGGAATTATTCCTTAGAACTGTGGAGAGATGAGTTTTCTCATGCAGAGCCAAGAACAGGAAACAAAAAAGTTAAGGAAACACAAGGGCTGAAGTCTTAAAGCTCTACTAAACTTATGGAGTGTGTCCTGGAGGTTTAATCACTAGGTAGAGCAAATCCTCAGCAGGTATAAATAACCTGAGGTTTCTTTTAGATTGATTGTCTGCTTTGGTTGGAGAACTGCCAGACCTATAAAGACTATTATTTCTGGGTTGCCATTTATGTCTACCTTGCTTTTCCAATCCTGTCTTTTCTTTGTGTCCTAATTTAGACTGTGTTTACTTTTATGTCTTTGCAAGTGCCTGGTATTCTCTTGAAAATACTCTTTGAGTATTCAACATGGAATGTGCCCAACATGCTTCAAAAAGTTAAAAAATGTGAGTGTCAAATTCTTTTAATAATATTTGAATCCTACACTTGATTTTAATGTATGGAAAATATCCAACATTTTACCTAAGGCATGCACTAAAGATACTCGCTTTGCTAGCTTTTCTCAATGCAGTGTTTTCAAAAGAGACAGGAGCCATGTCATTTAGGTGTGTAATTCAGAAGGCATTGCAAGGTTTAGTTGTCCTCCTGCCATTTCTCAGTCACAGAAACAGAATGTCTCTCAGCCCCTTGATTAAAGCTGAAGACAGCCACAGAAGCTTAAGAAAAACAAACATATTTGAGGGGAAGTTTGGCCATAGAGTGAGATATATCTTATTTCATATAAATCAGATACAGAGGTTACATAATACTTGATTTCTCTAATATGAGAGGCCTGAAATATAAATAATTTAGACAGCAAAATAAAAGATGATACAAAACCGGGAGGCAGACTCTGTGGAGGTAGAAAGGGGACCTGGGGGGAGGAGGAAAAGGGGAGTAGAATGATCAAGATATGAGCAAGATGAATATATTTATTATGTATTGCAAACATATACTGTTAATAAAAAACTGAAAAAGAAGGGCCACATGTAGCAGCACACGTCTATAATCTCAGCACTCGGGAGGCTGAGGCAGGAGGATTGCTGCAAGTTTGAGATCAGCCTGGGCTACATAGTGAGTTCCAGGCCAGGCTAAACTACATAGTGAAACCTTGTCTCAAAAAACAAAAACAAAATACAAAACAAAAACAAAAGCCATAGGCAGACTTCGTTTCCCTTCAGACAAAGAGGTGAACCACTGAGCTTGCCCTGTTCCTCTGGCTGTGATGACACAACCAGAGCCAACCTTTGTGACTTACTTGTTTGGGGTCTTGCTTGAGTTACTAAGAAGAACCCACCAGGAGAGAGTGGAGCTGGTAGTGTGTGATCTGGGGTCTCATGGCAGCCGTCCTGCCTGCTGCTTGGACTGCTCCTGTCCTGGAGCTAGAGAAGCCCCAGGAACTGATGATGCTGCTTGAGTAGGAGTCACTGGGAACAAAGCTGAGCAGAAAGAAGCGGAGCCTAGAAACTGGGAAAAATAGAACTCAGATGAAGTTGTTGGGGCCTCTGGATCTAAACAAGGCTGAAGCCTCTTGTAATTGGTTCCTGTGCTTTACGTGAGCCAATTCCTCCTTTCAAACTGGTTGGAGAGGTATCTCTTGAATCTGTAGCCGGAAGAGCTGAGCATAACTTTCTTGTGTTCTCTTGTATTACTTTTCACAAGTTAATGAGAATCATTTGCCCTGATTCTTTACTACTCAGAAAAATTCCAAAAATTGTATAAAAGGAGATAAAAGCCACACTATTACTTTTTTGGTTAACAGTATTCTTGCCTCTTTTCTATCCATAGCTGGATTCACACTGAATATTCAATTTTAAAATCTGACTTTTTAACATAATTCACATTTCTGCCTTGCAAAAGTAATACATATCCACTGAAGAAAATTTAGAAAACACAGAAAAGTAATGAGAAAAAATTAATCCCATAATTAATTGCCCATAGATAGATAATCATTACTAACATCTTGCTGAATTTCCTTCTCTTTATCCTTTTTTGCTCTCCTGTTTCCAAGTATCAGGACTACACGACAGATAGAATTTTAGAAAAAACATATTCTTGCTCAGTAAATATTTTTATGAGTCTTCAAATGGTTTTCATCCTATGAATGCACTATAATTTATTTAACCTGTTATAATTTGGCTCTCGAATGTCTCCTTTAAAGTCTTATACGTTCAGAGGTGGGGCTTTTGGAGGGTGATTGGGTCACAGGGGTGATATACTAATCAGTGGATGAGTTCATAGCCGAATGTGCTGTTAGGAGGTGGAGCCTGGTAGAACATTGGTCACTAGGAGAGTAAGAAGAGTCTATTTTTGTCCCTGGCCTCTCCCTTCTCTCTCTGCTTCCTGGCTGCCATAGAGTTGACAACTTTTCTCCATCATGTCCTTCCCTCCATGACCTTTCTGCTAGGGAGCCAGCCAACCATGAACTGAACCCACTGTAACTGTGAGCCAAATAAACCTTTCCTCCTTTAAGTTGCGGCTGTCAGGTATTTTGTTCAAGTGATAGGAAAGTGATTAATACACCAGTTCTCCATTTTTGAAATTTAGATGGTTTAAAATTTTTTATGGATTACATAATACTATGATCAATATCCTTGTTTATAAAATTTGGCACAGGGCCAGGGATTTGAGCCTGGCAAGCTCAAGGTCCTGAGTTCCATGCCCAGAACCAAAAGAACAAAAGGAAAAAAAAATTTTCACAGAAACATTTACACTTTAAATGTTTCTAAAAGTAGAATTACTAGGTCAATGGTTATAGAAATTTGAACTCAATCAACATATTAAGCTGGGTGTGGTGATGTATTCCTCTTATCCCAGCTATTTAGGATGCTGAGGCAGGAGGACTATAAGTTGAAGTCCAGCTTGGGCAACCTAGGAAGACCCTGTCTGAAAATAAAAAAAAGAAAAAGGGCTGAAGATGTGAGGTTGTAGCTAACTGGCAGAGTACCCCTGGGTTTGATCCACAGTAGTGGGCCCCTCTAACCAAAACTTACAAAACTCTTACAAATTTGTAGTAATTCTCAATCTACCAAGAGCTTATGATAATTATTAGTAAGCACCCTTTTAATAGCTGTACAGGATTTCTTAGCTGTCAAATGATTTTAGTCATTTATTTTCCCATTATAAAACATTTGAGTGTTTCTACTTTTCACTGCTATAAGTAATGCTATCAAAAAGATACTCTGTATATGTCTTTGTACCCATTTTAGATTATTTCCATAGATGATTCTAAGAATAATTTTTTTTATCAATGGTGTAATTATTTTCAAATTGTGCATTCATACTGATATGTCAAACTGTTTTCTAGAATTATTGCATTAATTTCTACTCCCATCAATAAAGTAAGAGAATGACTTCTAACCTCACTATCATTATATATTACCACTATCAAAGCAAAACAACCAACAACAGCATATCTAAAAATATTCACTAGTTTGATAGGTGTCACAACACGGTTTTATTTTGAATTTCTTTAATGTGAAGTGAAGCTTAATATTTTTCATATGGTTTACTTTCTCTTGGTTGTGAACTACCTATTTATGTCCCTCTCCCACTTTATTAGTACCTTACTATTTTCCTATATATTTTTTTTCACAAATTCTTTATATATTAAGGTTGTTGGCCTATCATTTCACATATGAATATCAGACATGCACATTTTACCAATCATTTCTATTACATTTCACATGTATTTTTCTTTATTAGGATATTAACCCTTTCTTGACAAGCACAGCAACTATATATATTATTTACCTATTTTCCACATGTGGAGGCCGCGGAGAAAAGTGGTTATGTACAAAGCCTGTAGTGCCAGGCCACTTTGGACTGGGTGAGACAGTGTCCTCCATGTTTTAGTACTGTCATGAGGGTTACCTGATACATCACTTTTCAATGCCTTTCCATAGAAAATTCTTGTCATTCTTACCTATTAGTTATACATTTTCTTTGACTAATATTTAATGTGATGTTATTATATAATTTGTCTTTTGACATACAAAAATTAAAATGATAATGTCACCAAATGTAACTTTTTTTCCCATGGTGACTCTTTATTTTTATCACATAAAGTCCCTTTCTTTTCACAGATCATTTAAAATTCTTCTAGGCATTTGCTCAAAAGAAAAAAAAATACGTATTCACTGAAAGATTTTCACATGAGTGCTCACTGTGGCTTTATTTATAATAGTCAAAAACTGGAAACTTCTCTAATATTCATCAGCAGGTGAATGGATAAACAATAAATAATTAAAATAATAAAAACAATCATATTATTGATATATGCAGCAATGTGAATTAATCACAAAATAATTATACCAATTGAAGGAAATCAGATAAAACACATGAAAAATCAGATAAAACATAGCACAGTAAGTATGTGAAGCATATACTGTATGGTTTCATTTATATAAATTCTAGAAAATGTAAACTAATCTAAAAGCAGATCTAGAGTTGCCTAGAGTGGGGAGGAGTGGGTAGAAAGTGTTACCAAGAGGCTTTGAGGAAACTTTTGAAGATGATGGATGCATTCACTATCTTGATTCTAGAGATGGTTTATGGTATGCATGTCACATCAAATAAATTTTTCACTTTAAAGAGTATAGTTTATTGTCAATTATATCACAATAAAACTATTTTAAAAGTTCTCTAAATCTTGTTAATTCTTATAGCTTGATTTTGATCAATATTTGATCTAGCTGAAATTTATTTTATAGTATGAATGAGATTTTATGTTTCCTTCCCAATTCCATTTACTACATAATAATAATATCTTCCTTATTTATGGGCACAACTTTCTCCAGTATATATTAACAGGTATTATAGTATTTGTTTATACTATAGGGTTTTATTTATATTAATACCTTCTTTAATTATACTTCAACTTAATTATAATTATAGCTTTATAAAATATTTAATAGCTAGTAGGACAAATTCCTCTTCATGTTAGTATTCTTTCCTTGCTTTGCCCTTGTCAAAAGAATCCCAGATCTTAGCATTACTACTAGAAAGAGTATTTAAACCCAAAGGATTATTTTAATCTAATTTTAAGTACCAAAAGAAAAGTAGGTGTTGAAACCTCTTCTTTTTTACATTCTAAAGAAAAGTGTAAGCAAAAGAAAGCTCAGCAATATTATTGGAAGTAAATAACTTCGGTTTAGTCAAATTGGAAAAACCTGTTGCTGACACTCATATGCCTTGGCTTCCTTCCTTCTGTCCAGATTTTAATTGCTGGTTCTCACTGAGAGTTTACCAGGGATAAGAGCATTTTTGATATCACTGGAAGACAAAAAAGATAGCTAATCTCAAAGGCAGTGTTGGGTAAGGGAGGTTGTAAAGAATATAGATGGTGTGTGATACAAAGAAAAAGCACACATCTAGGGAGATGGCAGGAAATCTCATAGGCAGGGTAAAATAATATATTTTTTTGATTGTTACAGGGATATGAGAGGGAGGGTAGTTGGGGACTCATAACAATTTCCATTTGTTGGTTTTTTATAAGTATAAAATGTCTGCTTTATCGTTTTCTCGTTTTGTCCATTGAGTTAAGTCTACTCAGTTAGATTTTACAGGTTAGATTATTATTTCAACTTAAAACTGCATGTTCTTCTCAGGTTGCTTTTCCATATTAGAAATTGTAATTACTGATTTTCCTTCTCCAAAATCAAAAAAACCCTTTCATTAGATGTTTAAGAATCAGACTGATTACTTATGAGGAATACAAAGAGGCAATAACCAGGCAGTTAGCACTTATTAAATGCCTACATTGTTCCTAAACTACCTTGAAAATATTTTTAAAAAAGGATTAAATCTGAATAAAACTCTGATTAAACGCAAGAAAGATTTATTTGGAATAGTGATTTTCTAAAGATAAACAGCTATCATTAAGGAAACTTGAATTTAAGGATGAGAGGGTATTAAGCATGAATTAATAAATCAGGAAATGAATAGTGCTTTACTAGTTAACCCAGTGCCTTGAAGGAAGTCACCAAGCTTGCTTTCCAAAACACTGTATCATATTGATATATGCACACTCATGTTCATAGCACAACAATTCATTTAAATTTTAGAAGCAGCCTATCATCCATCAACAGATAAAGAAAATGTGATATTTACACACAATGGAGTACTACTCTGCCATAAAGAAAGATAAATTTGAGTCATTTGTAGGAAAATAGATGTGCCTGGAAACCATATGTTAAGTGAAATAAATCGGACACACAAGCATAAATATTGCATGCTTTCTCTTTTATGAGAAACCTAAATTATAAATAAAGAGCAAAATAAAAGATAGATACTGAGAAGTAGGGAGAGAGATTTTTCTCAGAATGGAAGAGGATAAAGAGACAGAGTGTGGGGGAAGGGAGGGAAGGGAAAGGGTATTAAAATAGGAATTAGAATGTGTTATGTACATGTACCAACTCCGCAGAAATGTAAACATTATGTACTGCAAACATGTACTAATGAAGAAA